TGTATGAATATAATATACAAGTTTCACTTTTTAAATGGAATTACTGAAATAAATCTACTTTTTCATGATATTCTAATTTTATGACCAGCACCTGTACATCCCAATGAACGTGGAACTGAGCGCACCTGAGACACCTCCCCTGACACGCCTCCATTTAAATATGTCAAATAGATGTAAATGTGTCCAGCGTGTGAGATTCTCCTCCGACTGTCCTCTCTGTGGGATCAGAAATGATTTTTAGATGCAGGAAAATTATACATTCAATGGAGAATGAGTGAGAAAACCGTCTAAATAAGTAGTGGAGTGTAAAAATTAGTCTGCCACTCGCAAAGGTGTGTGTGGGTGTTGGTGTGTACGCACGTGTGCTGTTATTTTCAGCGGCGCATGAGGCTGAGAGACATTTACGCCTTTCCACGTCTTTAATAAATGACTGTAAACACAGAGGAACTTATGAATTTTGTCGAACTTAGAAAAATATTTATTAAATAGTTGAAGTGAAGAAATGAGTGACTCGCAGCGCTGCGAGTTTCTGCCGTGGTGTGGGGCTGGGAGCAGCTGACACTGACCCATACGCACAACTTCARGCAGCAATAAATATATTGCATCTTGTGGAGCTGAGGAATCATCACAGCTGAGCTGTTCTGAATTAATCTGCTGAGTTGACAACGTTTTTTTCCTCAGTGAAAATTAAAAATGTTTCTTAGAAAATCCACACACATTTTATTCTCCTCAGCTGTGTGTGCGCTCCGCAGGCCACGCACTCTGCATGTGTTTCCAACTACGTGACAACTGATAGATATTTTTAAACTTTATCATTTTTTATATTTGATCCTGTTGCATTAATCAACTGTATTAAATGTCTTTCTTACTGCCGTAATGGGTTGGCCATATTGGGTTAAAACTGTCGACTGAAAAACTTTGCGTAGCCGCCGCACATTCTCACGGCWGGTGAAAAGTGTGCGTAAATATACGCAGACTTTCACGCAATCTTGGTTTTGATACATTGCAGCGTGGGCGTAGAACCTGGCACACATAACGTTTTTATGCGTACGCACCGTTTATACATGAGGTCTCAGGTGTCTGTCTCCATCAGTCTCTGAGTGTGAGGTGGGGACACCATCACAGGGACACATAGAGACAAATGAGACAAACAACCTTTCACACTCACACTCACATGTAGGGACGGTCTGGAGTTACCAAATAACCTAAAATGCACGCTTTTGATCTGTGGGAGGAAACCAGAGTCCCTGGAGAAAACCCACTTGTGCACAGAGGGAGCATGTAAACTCTAGGAGGTGAACCTGCTCTAACCACTGCTGTCCATAGTTTAATATGAAATTACAAAATAACAAAATAAAACACGTCCAAATTTTATTTAAAACACTTGGAGAATAAAATGAATCTATTTGTTTTATTTGAGCTCAGCTTGCAAAACGTAATCTGTCAAATAACAAAACATGTTGAACAAACCATAAAAACAGCCTGTTTAAATAATCTGTCATGCTCTAGATTAGGATTACTGTTCATTCTTGTAGCTCACACAAATTAAGATGATATAAAATGAAGGAGGTTATATATAGCAACTGGAGTGTGCAAAAACCACGTGACTGTGTGATCGGCTGGTGAAGCTAACGGCTAACGTTAAACGGTCAAGACTCTGGATTTCCCATTACTGTACATGTTGACAACAGAGCAGAAAAAAAGGACTGACGATGTACAAATAATAAAAAAAAACTATTAATAATAATATTAACCCAATTATTATTAATATTTTACAGTTTATATAATCTATGTAATGATTTAAATAATGTCAGAAAAGCTGTTTGTGTTATGGATTTATTAACAGAAGATAAACAGGAAAACGTCTCATTTTACAACACAAGTCAGCAGATTTGATCTTATTTAGCTCAATGTGATCTGAGCAGAACATAATGTAACAGTTTAAAATTAAAATAATCTTATAAAGTCGATGTAATCACTGTTAGTTATTGAACTGGTTAGCAGATATTAGCTTGTGGAGCATATATACAGAGTCAGTGCTAACACTGTTGAATCATGCTACAATTTAACACAAAGTATTAAATATTACTTTGTCCTCTGATTAATATTTAGACCTACACAGTGTACAAT